CAGCCAATAAATTTAAATGAACCTAACCCTAATATCTTAATGGAGTTAAGTAAGAAGAAGGCAGCTTCCACTGAATACTTAAGGGGAAAAAAAACACTTTCTAATAATAAGAGCAGTTCAACAGTTATCAGAGTCTCCTTTTTACTAGATGCTTCACACAGAAGCTTGTCGTTTGGATTTCTATACTAAGCAGGAGTTGAACTTGATGCCCTAGCTAGCCCCTTCCAACCCTATGATCCTGTAATATGTTTTATGCAACCCAGTAGAAATCTTAGTGTTATTTGCATAAAAGGAGAATTTGGATCCAAAAAGATTGCTATAGTAGAAATATTTAATATTTCTTTTAACCAGGTGCATTATTATTTTGTCTAAATATATATCTATATTTCTGTGCTGTTACATTACAGGCTGGTCACCCATTTCAGCAGCGCTGCGCCCAATCAGCTTATTCAAATAGCAAGCAGAAATGGGAGGCTCCGGTATTCCTCCTCTTCTTGGATTGTGTCTGGCAGATCCTTCGCCAGTTCCCTTGCTCCTTTGAGTTCAACTCTCATTTTCTAATCATGCTATTTGAACATTCTTACGCCTCTCAGTTTGGAACTTTCCTGGGCAGCAATGAAAATGAAAGGTAGATAAATGTTTTGTCCTGAGTTTCTTGGAGTCCAAGCAATATTGTGGTTCATAGAAGGCAGTATTAATGACATTACTATCAAGATTATGAGACTCTTGGCTATTAATTTAAAAGACTTCAAGTTTGCAGTTGAGTTATGCCATTTATCAAATCAGGGGATTAGTTCATCTATTCCAGAAATGGTTGTGCTGGGTCTCCTGAAGTCTTCGCATTCCTCAAGTCCATCCCTCATAGGCATCCATGTGCCGGAATGGCACATGGCACAAATATGTCAGAACATGCCACTCTGTGGATGAAGGATGGGGTTTTGAAAGACAATGAGGATCTTTTCTGAGCTTTCAAAGGCCTGGTAGAGCTTTTGCAGGTCACCTATTCCCTACGTAGGCTCCCAAAGGAGGCAGTAGCCGAAATGGTCATTCCGACACTATTTTGAACACAATTGCAGTTCAGCCATGCAACCTGCAGCCCATAATAATTTCCAGTACCACACAGCTGGAATTTGGATGTGAAACAACCAAATTTTAGAGATACAGTTTCCTGCTGATAGACATAATACGCAGAGCAAGCAAAAAATGAAGTAGAACCACAACCCCAAAACACAGAAACAAATGTGTAAAAATCTAGGCCGCCTCCATTTGCTGTCAGGGCAGTGTTTCATAAGCTTGCCCACAGCAGCTTCTGGGGGAACTGTAGCCCCTAATACTAAAAAGTTATCCAACTTTGAATTAAAGCACATTGTGGGTATCAGGGTTTAGAAAGATTGCCTGAATATTTGAAGGTCTAAGGACTACAGTTGATGAACTGGTGATCTGATCAACATAGGACATATCTTTATCTTTCTCACTGTAGCATATAGGTTTGCTCTCTAATCAGTAGTGGTGTCTCTGTGCTTACTTTGAATTTCCTGCAAATATTGCAGGGTTGTATTTCAGAGATCACCTTGGAATCCTATAGTGTGTTAATAGTTCTGGCCACAAGGGGGATCTTGAATCTTATATTGCTGGAACTTAACTGAAAGCACAGTTTATATTTTCAGGGAGTACCAAGAAGATACGTACTAAATGCCAAATGCTTTTTTTTCCCTTTGACTTTCTCTGTTTACTCTCATATATTTGCCAAATACCTGCTGTTTTTTGGTTTTTGTTTTTGTTTTTGTTTTGCAATATACAAAATGTCCTGCACATTTTGTTTAAATGTTTCAGTGCAGGAGCAGCTACCTTACAGTTTCCCTAGGACTGAGTTTACTAGCTAGGATTTTATTTGATGTCATCTTGTTTCTCTTCTCTCATGCTGCTACTTGCAAGTTGGAAAAGCATGGTTTCTTGTGTTACAGAAGTAGCATAGCTTTCTTTTTTAAAATTCAGTTTTCTTCCACTTAGAGAGAAGAGCTCCCTTCCTCCAGGTTCCCCTGCAAATGTGGTGAATGGAACTGCTGATTTTGCTGGCTTTTTCAAATTAGGAGCACTTGTATTTACTTCTGATTTCTCTGTCAGGTCTAAGCTTAAGCTGTCTCAGAAGACATTGTCCTTGTGGTCCTGGGTGAACCGGCCAGAAGAGCTCAATCGATTTAAGAATCCTCTCTTTGAAGCCAACAGCCTAGTCATCTGGCCTTCTGTTGCACCACAAAGCCTGCAGCTCTGGGAAGGTACATTGTCTCCAAACAGGCCTGGAGGCATTAGGACATTCTGATCTGCTCTCTTCCTTATTGGTGGCATTGGCTACCTGCCACTCGACTGAGTCCAAACAGATGTGTTAGACAGGTTGGGCTACTGTCACATGTTCTCCATGATAGCTACCTATGGAAAGTGTCCAGAAATATGAATATCAAGTAGAGCTGTCTGGCTGGAATATATATATCTCTACCATTATTCCACTATGATCAGAAAATCTGAAGGGCCTCCCCTCTGATTAGCATTAGAAGGCCTGCTTTGTGGCTCCTGCCATTTGAGAAATAGCAGAGGAGGGATGAATCTTTTCAGGCCTTGCAAATTTAAATAACTTGCTTAAATCCATCTTGGTAGTAATCATTAGATGGACTTAAGTAAGCCAGGTACTTTTCCACATTGGACCCCTGTCTAGTATTACCCTATAGGTAATATTTGAATTGCTCCTCCCTCAGAATCTTTGCAAAGCCAGAAAGGGAGGCTGTGACCCACAGGCTGCAAACAGCTGTCCCTTTCCCCTCGGCCTCTTTTTGTAGCCTACAGAATTTCTTCAGATCACATTGCCAGAATTTGTCAGTGTGTTTTTTCAGTGGGCGTTGTTTCCTTTTTTCTTTTTTGAAAATAATAAGCAACATAGTTGTGCTAAACCTCCACTAGGCTTAAGACCTATTTTATTTGAAGGGGGGGGTGTGTGTGCATACAATCGTCTTCTCACTCCTGCCACCCTTCTATAGACCTAAGAGGTCTAATATTTTTTGAGAAAGGATTCTTTAACGGTATTGGGTAATATGGTATCATGTTTGCAGAGCTGTTGAACTAACAGTTATTCCTGCCTTCATCACTGAAAACTGTTCCACAGAGAGCTGCATAGTTGTATAACATTTCCTCTTTAGACCACTCACAGCTACCTAACTCCAGGAAAGAAAGCTGGTAGATATTCACAGCTGATGTGATCTTACTGCGCCTAATTCTTAGAGGAGCTACTAGACAGCCAGCTTGCATTCCTTGGAGTTTTTCTGTGGGAGTGGAGGGAAAAACAATGCTGAAATGATTGACAAGCTGTTCTGGTTTGTTGAAAGGGAGCCTCTAATCATCAGGTCACAGGTGAATGTTCTTTGTGACTCAGAATCAGGTGAATGTTCTGTGTGACTTAGTTCTTGTACCTTGCTAGAATGGAGAGCTTCCTCCACCAATTTGCCTGGCATCGATAGCCATTTGAGATCATAGAGTGAGAAGTCGTTCAATGACTGGTTTCATCTGAAGGAGGGGAAGCAGCAAAGCTACCTCTGACTGTTTCTTAGGTGACTTGCTCTTCCCAATAGTATGCCCTTATTCTAGACCCTACTATTCAGTGCTTTGATAGAAATGAAGGCATTGCATAAACACAGTTAAATAAAATCACTTTCCCAAAGATGAGAAACAGGCGAAGCTACTCTCTTTTATGGAGATACAAGGCATTTTTAAAAGTGTTTTCTTTTTGCTGCCCCAGGAGTTTTTCTTCGCTGGAACAGATCCTCCAAATTTGTAGACGAATCCTATGAAGAAATGATCAACATCATAAAGTATAACAAGGAACTCCAAGTGAAAGTCAACATGCTGAGACGGCAGCTGGCGGAGCTGGAGATCGATGACAGGGCCCAGGATGACGGGATGCCAGAGAGTCCCTGAAATCTGGCAGAATTCAGGGTCAGATTGTTCCTTCCTGGTTAAGCAAGTCACTTCTACACACTAAGCACTAAACACATAAGACTTGCATGCGCTCAAGCTCCTTTTTGGTGCAATCGGGTTGAACTTTTTTTTTTTTGCTTCAGAGTTCCTCACTTGGCACTGTAGTCATCCACCACCATTTAGGAAGGTGGTGCTTGTTTTTGTTTACATGACCAAATGTGTAATTTAGCTGGTTGTTGTCCCTCCCCATACCCCCAGGGAAGCGTCTCATCTTTAATAAATTGTGTGTTCAGTTACAGTGTCACTCAGGTTTTTAACCAATACTGAGCATCAATGAGGTTTACGATAAGGGTGCCCTTAGCTTTGCGGAAATTTTCATTCTGCATCTGGCAAATGCTGTCAGAAGTTTTCATGGTTTGTAAAATGTGATCTTTAAGATCCCTGTGGTAAGGGGAAGTATAAATTCTTCCTTTCTTCCCCAAAACGAACCTTTTTGTTCTTGGTTAAGACACTGTAACTTTGGCTTGGTTAGGGCCTTCAGTCCCAGATTGAAACAGCATTTTTCCATGCTCCTTATTCCACACCACAACTTGCAGCAAGGAAAAGTAGAAAGTGTCCAATAAAAAGCAAGGTATTTTCTCTAGCCTCCGCACTAGGTGACTCAGGCAGTGCTGATCATGTCTTCATTTTTCATATCTTAGTTCAACATGAAGTAGATTCTGCACAGCTGGTAGGGAGGTGCATGTTGGAATGCTGTCCATAAAGATGTGGGTACTTCACTATTTTTGTTTGTTAGCCTATTTGTGGAAAAGCTACCATAATATTCTAACTTGCCAGAATCAGAATATGTCTGCTGTAGAGGAAATACACAAGCTTTTCTCATATGTAACCAATTCTGGCATAATGTTTTGATAGTTGTGCTGTATCACTGAATCACTTCCCAGTTGGGGAGACTGCATAGTTCTGCTAATGTGTTCTCTGGATATTTATGCTAAAACATGGATCCATGTTCCTTAACAAGAATGCACTATTAGACAGAAAGTGTGATTTGGCTGATGGTTGATGACAAATAATACATATAGCACTAACAGCATGAAACCTAAGTAACTTTGATCTATAGGCTGTTACCACTAAGACAATGAAATGACCTTGCCCAACATGGAAGCTTCTTATTATTGGCTTTGTGCTAGTCTGCTAAGCTGAAGGTGGGAGGAGAATTTAAATGCCATATCCAGTTCATAATCTGCAGTCAGCTTGGCTTGCAGGTTAAGTCAATTTGGCCTGGGGGTTGATATGTCCTGTTCCCGTGGAACTCAAGCATATTCACAATACCTTTGAAGAGGGAGTATCTGTGTATGCATGCTCACACTTGTTCAACCCTTTGAGACAAGTGTCTAATATTGGATGTACTTGTTAGAGCTGCATTCTATTGTAGAGTTTCCTCTGGGTCAAAGGCTTTTGGAGAATATTGCTATGCTCTCATTTTTTAACATAATATCAACAAGTAAGAGTCCCCTGCTCTTTATTTTGGTTTGTTTCTCTTGAATGTTCAGTAACACTTCATTCTCTTTTCCATTTAAAAGAGATCACTGCCTGTTTTTATTCCATTTCCTTTAGATAATCTGTCTCACTAGACATGTCTTTCTCCTATTCCTGATCCCAGGAACTTACAGCCCTTCTTGATCTAATGTGGAATTGCTTTAAATTCCCCATTCTGATCAGTAGCTTTTTCTTAGAGGCAGTCCTTCCTGAACTAACAAATTTTATTCTCTGCCACCCGATCAACTTAGCTGACACTATCAGAGGTTCCCCTCCTGCAACTGCAACATAATATAGATGATTGCCCAAACAGCAGAACATTCAGCATTTTATTGGGAATGTGAAATGCATTGTCCCTTTTATTGAATGTTACTAAATACTCTGGGGTAGGAACAACTTTTTGTTTTTGTTTTTGTGGGGAGGATGGCTTGGAATTGTGGATAATTGTGTCTAACCTGCTGATAACCCCCTTCCGCCTCCCCCCAAATCCCTTCGGAGGAGCCAGGAATGTACAGTATTCATTTTCTTCAGGGAATGCTGCTCAGAATTAGTACTGTCTGTAACTTGTGATTTTCACTAAGATACATTTCTTTCCAAGTATAGTGATATCTTGCTCTGCACACTAGATTGGAAGCTGCAAGCCTGTTCCAGGAGTTTACAAATAATGGTTTGGCTTACCAGACATTCTGCATATGCACTTGCCACTAGAAGGCTGGAGGGACAAAGGTGCATTTTCAAATTTGCTTGGGTATCACACAAAGGCACTCAAGCAGAGGGAAAATTGGGAGTAGGGATTTTTCTGTTGCTATCCTTTTTCTCAGTAGCCAGGACAATACCCAGTTGAACTGGCTAAGAGATGTGTGCTAACCTCACCCCACACTTGCCTTTGTGTGACTTTGCAGTTGTTGGAAATTGTGGCACACTATAGGGTTGTTTGATTTAAGGGACTGACTGGAAGTTTTAGGGGGATGTTACATCGATTGAATTTCCAGGAAAAAGGGTAAAATATCAGGGATGAAGATTCAGAATCTTCATTCTGAGTTCTTTTCTGCTTAGTTTGGCAGTTTTTGCATGGATTTCATTCTGTGTTCATTAAGCACCACCGTAACCTTTTCAGCATAATCAAATTCTACCCTCAAATAGACTGCTAAATGGCACCACTCTAAAATATTGGGATGAACAGACTCCTTCCATATCTATTTATTTCAAAATTATTTTCTTGTTCAGTTTAGCTGTGATAGATTTTTGCCTATGATATTTAACCATGTTCATTATTCTTCAAAAATTGGTTGTAAAGGATTCATAATCTTGATGGCTAATTTTTGATAGTCTGATAGTTTTTAAAAGGTGTGTTTGATTAAAGGGAATTGTAAATAACAATATTTACAATGCAGTATTTATTATTTGCATGAAGTAGACATTAGTAAAATTGTGTTAATTTCACTTGTAAAATATGCCATTTCATGTGGTTTCATAACAGTCTTAAGATTGGTTAACATTTCAGCCTTCTCCAGAAAATTTTTCAATTGCATTTTCATACTACTATGAATTCTGGAACTTTTTTCCTCATTAAAAATTCGGTCCTTTATAACAATGTAAAGATGGCCCACTTGGTTTGGCTGCTTGATTACAACAAAGCAATCAACCCAAACATCAAAATTTCTTGCAATGGGTGTTACAAAATTATGCTGAGGGTTTTTTTATTCTCCAAAATGTCTAAATCTTTTGTCTTTTTCCCTCCTAATGGCTGCAAATGAGGCAGAGAGTTGAGGTAAATTCTGTATACTATTATTGGGATTGTATGTATTATAATAGTGAACATGTGTAGAAAAGAGCAACCTGGTTTAATTATTTCTACAGCCAAACATTTCATATGACTAGGATCTCCTTCCATTCTCTGTTGGGCTCTGCAGATCTAATGAAATTACTGTGTTGTGCGGATAGATGCAAGTTCTTGCCCACCTTATCAATTTTCTCTGGGTAGAATCTGCCTGTTGTAATTATTTGAAGTTGCTGCCTCAGCATTCATGAAGTCTTCATTTTTAAAAATCAAAATAAATTTGAGAAGTTACTGTTTTATTGGATGGTTAACATTCTTCTAGCATCTGATTGTCTCATAATTTATCCTACAATAAGTGTCTTACATGTTGCCTGTTTTTCAGAGTACCAAATTTGCTGAACAGGAAGCTGAGCCCCCACCCCTCAAATAACTACCAGTGAATTGGCAGGCCAGTCAGACTGCCTGATAAGAATAAAAGCTGCTGCTGTCTGGGAGTGCCTGACCCTTTTTGTAGCACCTAAACAAGGGTTACCTCTGCCCTCACCTCATCACTTCCCTTCCCTCCTCTTCCTTCCCCTTCCCTCCCTGTTTCTCCTAGAAGGAAGAAGGGAAAAGGGAAATGTATATGTGCTTCCATGTTTTTGCATGGGAGAAAAGAATAATTGGTAGATGCTTATGGAAGAACAACTAATGTTATGACTAGAGATTATGAATTTACAGGCAATATTAATTAGTTATCTATTTTTTTTGTCCTGGCCTAACCTTTTGGAGGGGGGTGGGTGGGTAGATGGATAGATAGATCTACATTTATACATACTTGCATAAGTGTAACACATTTACATATTTATTATGGGGAGGGAAAATGGATGGATGGATGGATGGATGGATGGATGGATGGATGGATGGATGGATATAGATTTCTGCTACTCTCCCTTTGGCAGTGGGATGTTTTTATATTCAGAGTCATCTTCCATTCAGATAAATATGGTACAATTCACAAAGGAGTGGTTTAGCATTTGAGGATACCAGTTCTACCCTTTAATTCATCTACTTAAGAGAAATCCTCCTGGTCTTCACTTATGACCATATGGCCAAGAATATGTTAGTTTTATGCATCCCCTTTTCAGTGATTGAAAACAGAAATCAGTCAGGCCAAAGAAATTTCAGAATTCAAAAATTTATGAAATGTCCACCAAGTGAATTACTGGTTCCACTCTATAGCCCTGCTGGGCTTCTAGAACAATATTAATGAGATTAATTAATGAGAGAACAGAAAGCTGAGCATCCCTTTCATTTTGTGCCCCTCCATTTATCCTGTTGAGGAGGCTCTTTGATGGGTATGCTTAAACGTGAAAACAGCACTGGGCTGTTTACAGATATGAGTCTTCTCAGTGAAGAATACAGAAAGTCAGTTAACCTGACAATTATAATGCCTCTTGATTTTATGTTGAACATCGCACATTTCTGATTGTATCCTGATTTATTCCCTCACTCCCATAAATCCATGTTGCCTTGTCCTATGACTTGGATGCCTGATACATTGACTCTGCACTCCAGCAAAATGTATTTATTTGATTTATTTATTAAATTTGTCCCCCGCCCATCTCCCAGCTCTACAATTGTCTTCATAGATTGCCAAGAATAACATGCATGTATTGTATATTTATTTACTTTACAGTTTCCACAGCCCACACAAAATAATTTGAGTGGGTTACAACATATTAGAAATTATAAAAACCACAATAACAATATATAATTTCTGACCCAAGATGTCAATAATATTTAACTAGAGTTGAAGGCTTGGTGCATAACACTGCCTTCAATAATGCTCTAAATGCCATGCAAGGGAGGGGGGATTTGCATATTAGTGAACATACAGAACTGAATATTGCGGTTTTGAGGCCAACTATCGTCTGATTATTTTTGGGATTGTATGTTTGCTTGAATGTGACAGTCTGCTTTTAAGTGCACTATTGTCTGCATTGTCTATGTCATATTTAACTGGTACCTTGGCATCTTGACATTTTCTTAAGACTTTCAAAAGAAGGTAAGAAAAGTGCTTTTCCTATAAAACTGTTGTATATTTTCAGACTTTTGTATAGTGAAGTATTATCATCTATAATGTCCTGTTGCACTCCATATCCATTAACTATTAACAAATAATGTGGTCACTGCATCTTGGTCCTATATCTGGATTTGCTGCTGCTTTGAAGTTTAATTTTTAAGTGAGCCAATTCAGAAGCATTCTCGGAACCTTTGTGGTGATCTGTTGGAGAACATTTGCCATTGCTGTATCAAAATCCTAAATATTGCTACATAGCCTTTATCAGAAAAATCAATAAACTTGAGGAAAAATGTGCTTGAAGTTTATTAATCTGTGCTAGACATATTGCACTGAAAAACAGTTGTAAACCCAGTTTTTATATTTGCTGGGCTAGTATAAACTCAGTTAAAATCTTTTAGAATTGTGTATTTACTCCAGTTGAATCTTGTCAATGTTTTCAATTTATTTACTTTGTGAACTGAGTGAGGGATTCTTACAGAAACTACTACATGCATAGAAATTAAATTGAAGCTTGTAAAACTGTTTGAGAACGCCCCTTTCAAAATGCTCTATGTTCTGGGTACATCCAATAAAGGACAAATCATTGCATTAATTAACTTTACAACTGGATTTATCTGGATTGCTGGGAAGAGAATCAGTGTCTCTGTTCAGGTCTAACAGATTCTGCTAAGATTCTAGTGTAACAGAGTGGCTTCAGAAGCTTGAGCAATGAACAAAAGACCTGAATTTAAATATTGCCACGTCCTAAATTAAACAATTGGCCTTGGGGCATGGGTGGGCATCTGGCTGCAGACACAACCCTCCCACCCAAGCTCCATTTAGGTTTAAAGCAATGTTGTCCAAACTTGGCCACTTTGGCCAAGCTGGCTGGGGAATTCTGGGAGTTGAAGTCCACTCATCTTAAAGTGGCCAAGTTTGGACAACACTGCTTTAAAGCATCCATTTCACCCTTTAACCTCCCCCAAAACAGGCTGAAAATTTAATTCCCAGTCACTCCCATCATGTCATCAGCCATCCCTCTTGCAGTACCTAGGCAGAAAACAGGCAAAATATGACCTCCTAAATTAAAAAAGATTGTCTACACCCATCCTAGCCTCGGTTGCCCTACCTGCAATAAAAATGAAAGAGAACTGATTAATTGTATGATACTGTGAAGACAGCCACAGGATAATGTCTGTAAAACACCTATTTTATTTTATTTTAAAATGTGTGTGTGTGTGTGTGTGTATCACATTTGTATAGCATTTACAGTTCTTAAAAATGCCACAGGGATGTTACATCAACAGCTATTACGGAATTATTCTGGCTAGATTTTAGTTTACTGTTGGAGTTCAGCTGGACATGGCCAATATCAACATCTGTATACCTGACTTTTTTCCTCATAATATCTAGAATAACTTATTTATTAGTTACACTTTTAAATGACCATAATTTTGCAACACTTGTCAGCTTACAAGGAAAAACATCCATCGCACATAAATGCTAAAATAATTTTTTTTTAATCTTAACATTTATTTAAATTTCTTAAAACCGGAGCGCATAAACAATCTGCAGTGCTATCTTAACTAATAACGAAAGCCCTTTTGAAGAGCCCCGTTTAAACCTGTTTACGAAAGGTCAATGAGGCTGGAGCAAGCCTGATCTCTGGTGGTGAATGTTCCACACCAAGAGCCCCTTAATGGAAGAGCCTCTTCTTCTAGTCCAGCCCCCCCCCCCCCGTGGGACACCAGTAGTGGGGCACTATCAACATTTTTTCCTGAGTTGTTGGTCAGATGACTTGACTGACTGACGGAAGTGGTCCTGCGCGTACCACAGTGCCAATACACTGTTGGTATAAATAAAAACCAGCATTTTAAATTGCTCTTGGAGGATTACTGGCAGCCAACAGAGGGTTTTCTCCCCAGGCACAATACATTTGTGGCACCTAATATTAGTTAACACACGAGCTGCTGCATTTTGTACCAACTACAGTGTCCAAATACCCTTAAAGGCAGTCCCATGTAGATCGCATTGCAATGGTCCAATCTGATGGTAATAAGAGCATCTGTTACTGTTTTAGGTCCTCCTGCTCCAGCTAGGGCTGAAACTGGTACACTGTCTGGAACTGGTCAAAGGCCGTCTGGTCATAGCTTCCACCTGCCCATCCAGCAGCGACTGAGAATCCAGCAGGCCCTCCCTATCACAGACATACTTTCTCAGAAGTGCCATTGCCTCAAGAGGCACTACAGGAGCTGAAGAGAAGCTTGATGTACAAACAGCAGCTTTGCTTTGCTTGGGCTCAACTTAAGTCTGTTTCTTCCCATCCTGACCCTAACAGACTCTGGATGCTGGGACAACTTGCACATAATATGATGGCATCATATCCATAAGCACTGCTATCTCCAGGTAGACTAAAAAAAAGTTGCCAGTCATTGTAGACCAACCTTCCCAATCTGAATCTCACAATATACTGTAGTTTGACTGTTGTCATCCCTGGCCGTGTAAAAATACGTCAGCTGTATCTGGCAGGAGTTGTAGTACAAAATATCTAAATTTTAGAGGAAGTATATTAGGAAAGACGGATGAAGACAACATTGAATCAGTTGTCTGGTTGTATTCAAGGCAACCTCTTATGCTCGTAATTCCATTTTACAATATTTGATGTATTGATTCACTTAAGGCTGGCTGCTTGGCAAAGTTTTCTGGTACCTAAAATACAATTTAATGGACTAGTTTGGTCTAGTGGTTAAGGCACCAGGCTAGAAACCAGGAGACCATGAGTTCTAGTCCCACCTTAGGCATAAAGCCAGCTG